CCATTGTAACCCATGAGTCATACTTTGGAAATTTATATTCATTAAATAAAAGATAAAAAAAAATAAAAAAATAAAAAATAAAAAAAAATCATAAAAATGTTCAAACTAGCCAAAGCAATTTATAGATTCAATGAGATCCCAGTAAAAATACCAAGGATATTATTCAGATTTGTATGGAAACACTAGAGACCTCAAATAGCTAAAGCAATTTTAAACAAGGAAAATAAAGTCAGAATCATCACAATACTAGATTTCAAGATGTACTACAGGGCCAGGGCAGTTATAAACAAAACAGCCTAGAAGTGGCACAAAAATAGACATGTACACCAAAGAAAGAAAATATAAACCACAGAAGTTAATCCATGTATCCACAATCAACCAACGATCTAAAAATCCCTGAAGAAAGGACTGTCTCTTTAACAAATTGTGCCAGAGAAATGGGACCTCTACATTCAGAAGTATGAAATAAGACCTGTATTAACACCCTATACAAAAACAACCCATAATTGATCAAGGATCTACATCTATGACTTGATACTATCAAATTCCTAAAGGAAAACATTAGAGGAACTCTGCAAGACATTGGCACAGGAAAAGATGTCTTGGAAAAGACCCCAGAAGCACAGGCAATGAAAGAAGAAAGAGCCAAAAGCAAAGAAGCTTCTGTGTTGCAAAGAAAACACTCAGCAGCAAAGTGAACATACAGAAGAATATAGTTTTTCTCTATATAATTGATAAAGGGTTAATATCCAATATCTATAAAGACCTGAAGGGACTCAACTACAACAAAACAATGTAGTTAGAAATGGGCAAAGGACATGAGCAGAAATTTTTCAAAGGATGTAATATAAATGGCTGAGAGACACATGCAAAGATGCTCAGTATCTCTAACCATCAGGGAAATGCAAAGAAAACCACAATGAAGTTTCATTTCATCTCAGTTAGAATGTCTATTATCCAAAAACCAAAAAATAATAAATGCTGGTAAGGATGTGAGGGAAAAAGTTACCCTAATACACTGTTGGTGGGAACGTAAAGTGGTACAACCATTATGGAAGACAGTAAGCATATTCCTCAGAAATCTGAAAATAGATCTACTATATAAAATCAGATGAAATCTACATGATAAATTCAGCCTATGGAAGAGTTATTTTTAACCTCATGTTTGTTGCAGCTTGATTAAAAATAACTAAGATGTGAAATCAAGTCAGATTTATATTAACTGATGACTGAATAAAGAAAATGAGTAGCATGGAATACTTTTCAGTCATAAGAAAGAATAAAATCCTGTCTTTGCAACAAATGGATGCAACTGGAAACCATGATGCTTATTGAAATAAGCTGTTCAAGAAAGACAAATATGTTTTCTCTGATATATGTGAATTAATAAGGATATAAAAAGTGTAAGAATGAAGTGGACATATGATTTGATTATTTTTTTTGCCCTTATATATATTCTAGTGAAACTGTGGTATTAGTACTTTTTACTTGCTGAATATTATGGTTAGTGATGCACTAAATCTGAGCTTATAAGGGAAATTATGAAATGAAGTTTTTTCAATTTTATGTTTTTGCAAAAATTAAAGAAAAAAAGGGTGAAGAAAGGTTGAAGGAGAGAGTGGGGGAACTATGATTATCTTCTTAGCATTGTGCTTATAAAATACATGAAATCTGTTCTCTTTATATAAATAAACAAATTTAGAGAACCTAAAAGTAAGCTTAAAAATCTCCATGCAGCTGATCTTCAAAAATGTTCTAAGAATATACACTGCAGAAAGGTCAGTATTTTCAATAAATGATGCTTGGAATATTGAATACCCACATGCAGACAATTTAAACTTGCTAAACTTACTCGTATCTCTCATCATTTACCAAAATATGAACTCAAGGGTGTTTATTTACCCTAATCATTAAGATGCTAGCATCTCATATCAAAGTACCTCAGCTAGATACCCATCTCTGACTTCTGACTCCAGTTTCCTGCAGATGCTGGGTGGGAGAAGTGATAACTCAAGCACTGGGTTCCTTCTACCATGGGGAGAGCTGGATTGAATTCCACACTAATTCTGTTTGGCCCAGTCCTGGCCTTTGTGGGCATTTGTGGAGTCAATCAACATAACAGCTCTGTCTATTTCTCTATGTCTCTCTGCTCTCAAATAAATACTCTTTAAAATTAATTAAAGATGATTTAAAGACTTAAATATAAAACCTAACTATTTGGATAAAATGCTTCAGGACATTGGAATAGACAAGCATTATGGGAATAAGACACCAAAGCATAGCAAGAAAAAAAGAAAAAAATAGTCAAATGGAATTTTTTTAAGTTAAAAAGCTTCAGACAGCAAATAAAATAATCAATATAGCAGACAACCTAAGGAATTGGAGAAAATATTTGCAAACTATACATCTAGTAAGGGATGAATAACCAGAATCTGTGTGTGTGTGTAAGAAATTTTAACAACTCAACAAAAAATGAGCAAATTTTAAAACTGGTAATAGGTCTAAATGCACATTTGTTAGAGAAGACATACAAATGGCCAACAAGTACAGGAAAAAATGCTCAGCATCACTAATCAACAAGGAAACACAAATAAAAACCACAGTTAGATATCAAGTACTTCAGTTAGAATGCCTATTATCAAAAAGACAAAACAGTGACTGGTATTGTCACAGAGCAGGTTAAACCATGTCCTATGACACTGACATCCCATATGAGCAACATTTCAAGTCCATGTTCCATCCAGTTTCCTGCTAATGAGCCTTAGGAAGCAGCGGAGGTTGACTCAAGGGCTTGGCCCCCTGCCACCCTCATGGGAGACCCAGATGAAGTTCCAGGCTTCTGGCTTCAGTCTGGCACAGAAACAGCCATTGTGGTCATTTGTGGAGTAAACCAGCAGATGAAAGATCTTTCTCACTCTTGCTTTATCTCTCTCTCTCTCTCCCTCTCTCTTTCTGTGTGTGTGTGTGTGTGTGTGTATTGTGTGTGTGTCTCTATAATTCTTCCTTTCAAATAAATAAATAAATCTAATAAAAAGAAAAATACATATTTGATGGAATTGCATGTAAAATTTAATAAGAACTTGTAAAACTCAGGAAGAAGAAAACAAATGCAACTTAAATATTGAAGGAGGGCTGGTGATGTGGTATAGCAGGTAAAGGCACCGCCTGCAGTGCATGCATCCTATATGGGTGCCAGTGTGAGTCTTGGCTATTCCACTTCAGATCCAGCTCTCTTCCATGGCCTGGGAAAGCAGTAGAAGATGGTGCAAGTGCTTGGGCCCCTGCACCCATGTGGGAGACCCAGAAGAAGCTCCTGGACCCTGGCTTTGGATTGGCAGAGCTCCAGCCATTGCAGCCATCTGGTGAATGAACCAGTGGTTGGAAGACCTCTCCCCTCCTCTCTCTCTATGCCTCTCTGTAACTCTACCTTTCAAATAAATAAAATAAATATTTAAAATATATAAAAATATATAGATACACACATAATACATGTATTCAAATAAACATATAAACCATTCTGAATATTAGAAAATTATGAGAAAAAGAAATGTACCATACATTAAAGAAGAGCACATTTAGACAGCAAGAAGATGGACATGCTATGTATCAGGATGATTATACTTAAAAAATACACATTATGGGCTGGCACTTTGGCATAGTGGGTAAAGCCACTTCCTGCAGTGCTAGCATCCCATATGAGCACTGGTTTGAGTCCTGGCTGCTCCATTCTGACCCAACTCTCTGCTATGGCCTGGGAAAGCAGTGGAAGATGGCCCAAGTCCTTGGGCCCCTGCATCTACATGTGAGACCCAGAAGAAGCTCCTGGCTCCTGGTTTTGGTTTGGCACAGTTCCAGCCACTGCGGCTAATTGAGGAATGAACCAGCACATAGAAGACCTCTCTCTCCCCCAACTCCCTCTCTCTCTGTAACTTAACTGCCAAGTAAATAAATAAAATAAATCTTTAAAAAATACACATTACAAATGCTTTGCAAGAGTAGCAGGACATCAAATTCATTACGGGTGAGGATGCATAGTGGGGCAGATGCTTTATCAGACTTCTTGACATGTTATCAGAAACCCAACACCATGTCATACACCATACATGTTACAGTATATTTTCACTGGTATGAAAACGTATGCTTTGATAAAAGCTGACACAAATATACATATAGCAGCTTTACTCACAATGGTTAAAATTCATGTTAAACCAAGTTGTTCTTCAATAGTTAACCACATAACCAAACCTTCAAAGTGGGTGGAGACCCTGGGAAGAAAACAGGAGATGAACACACATGAGATGCTTAGGGAGCAGACATTTAGCATGGAGACACAAGAGAAAAGCCTAGGCTGCAGTCATAGGGGTTCTAGATGCCTAAGGAAGAAAATGACTTTAAGCCAAGGGCAGAGAGGTATCTAAAGCCTGCCATGAGCTGGAGGCACAGGCAATGAAGTCACTCCATGGTAGTAGGAAAATATTCTGGAGTAGGGATACAAATAACTGATGGAAGATCACGGCTTCATGCAGAAGGGCTGGAGAACACGGCAATTGGCTTGGAATTCAGGTACAGATGAACACTCAAGAAAAGATGTGATGGAGGGGCTGGCATTGTGGTGCAGTGGGTTACACCACTGCCTATGATGCTGGCATCCCATATGGGTGCTGGTTTGTATGCTGGCTGCTCCCGTTCAGATCCAGCTCCCTGCTAGTGACCTGGGAAAGCAGTGGGAGATGGCCCAAGTGTTTTGGCCCCTGCCACCTATGTGAGAGATCCAGAAGATGCTCCAAATTCCTGGCTTTAGTCTTTGGACTGTCCTAGCCCTGACCATTGAGTGAGCCAGTGGATGCAAGCTCTTTTTGTATTGCTGTCTCTGTCTCTCTCTCTGTTTCTCTGTCTATGTAACTTCAACTAAGTCTTTTAAAAATGTGCTGAAGACATAGGGGATGGAGACTCATGAAGGTACATGCTTTAGGCACAAGGAATGGACTTTCAAGAGCTGACATGGAGTACAGAGATTTTACAAATGACAACATATGACAGAGAAGAGAGGTCACAGTTCTATGGAGAGTGACACTGCAGAAAACACAGGGTTTCAGGCACAAGATTGGAGATACATGAATTCTGACATGGTTGCAGGCACATGGGGATGGAGACACTGGGGCAGGCAGGGTCTACACTTACAGGTTTTGGAAACAAATGAGAAAATTAAGAGAACACAGATAAATTAGTGCTTAGATAAAATTTGTATCCTTAAGTGAATATGTTAGGACACTGAAACTGAAGCATCTCAGCTTCTTTCTCAAAAATTAAAGCTGAAAAATATTGAAGAATATTTAAATAAAAGCAGTAACAGATGACAACAGACATCAATTTAAAAAGTTGGTAGTCACAAAAGTACTACAGAAAAATATAAAGAAAGACATATTTTAAAAGTTAAGAAAATAAATAAACCAATAACTAATTGCAGGAAATTAAAACAGAAGCAGTCTTTATAGAGCTTACAGAACTTACTAATACTAAGGATTTTCCTAAATTCATAAAACTAAAAATTGGACTCTGGAGATCAAAATCTGCTACATTTTGAAAATCAGTTTTCCAAAATACAAATATCAGATGAACTAGAATAATTCCTATATAATTTAATAAGTTAAACCAATTTTTTAAGAAGCCAAATCAACCAAGAAACAAGTTCCACAAACAAATTTTGGGTCCAGATATATGGAATATTCCAAACTTTTAAGAAAGAAAAATAAATTATATGTCCCAAACAAGCTCCAAATGGAACTAAACAGAGAATATATTTAAATTTCTTTTGGGAAGCCAGTGTTATATATATGATGCAAAGAACCTCAGGATATGGATTAAAAATAAAATTAAACAGCATCTGTTTCATAAACAGGTAATATCCTAAGCAAATTATTTTTATATGAATTCAGCCATACAGGAAAACTTGATAGGTCAGTAACAAGCAAGAGACACTAAAATGCGAAGAGCCTTCAACATTCTTTTTTTTTTTTAATTTTTTTAACAGGCAGAGTGGACAGTGAGAGAGAGAGACAGAGAGAAAGGTCTTCCTTTGCCGTTGGTTCACCCTCCAATGGCCGCCGCGGCCAGCGCACTGTGGCCGGCGCACCGCGCTGATCCGATGGCAGGAGCCAGGAGCTAGGTGCTTTTCCTGGTCTCCCATGGGGTACAGGGCCCAAGTACCTGGGCCATCCTCCACTGCACTCCCTGGCCACAGCAGAGAGCTGGCCTGGAAGAGGGGCAACCGGGACAGAATCCGGCGCCCCAACCGGGACTAGAACCCGGTGTGCCGGCGCTGCTAGGTGGAGGATTAGCCTAGTGAGCCGCGGCGCTGGCCAGGAGCATTCAACATTCTCAAACAGACCCTGTACAACATCCAGGTAGGTAGAAAAAGTGAGGCAATTACATGATCATTTAGATTAAGTGTTTAAAAGCATTTAATAAAACTCAGTATCCAGCAGAAAAAAAATCAACTTCTGGAAAAATTGCAAAAACAGTGATTTGCTGTACATGATCAAGATAGTCTAAAATGGACCTACAACAAACTACTTAACACAGGATCAGGGAAAGCTTTTCCCCCGGGAACAGACCCATGTATGCCTGCTGCCTTCTCCCCATCTCTAAAAGGGAAATAAAACAAAAACAAACAAGCATCAACCTTTAAATAAGCCAGAAACTCTGTCAATATACCCAGATGACACCCATTACATACAGACAATGTAATCCCAAACTACATACAGCTGACAAGTGAGGGTAACGAGATCATTGGGTAAAATGCTATTACCGGGCATCCAATATGGGCGCTGGTTCGAGTCCTGGCTGCTCCACTTCCGATCCAGCTCTCTGCTATGGCCTGGGAAAGCAGTGGAAGATGGCCCTGCACCCACATTGGCGACGGGGAAGAAGGTCCTGGCTCCTGGCTTCAGATTGGCCCAGCTCTGACCTTGTGGCCATCTGGGGAGTGACCAGTGGATGGAAGACCTCTCCCTCCCCCTCCCTCCCCTCTCCTCTCCCCTCTCTCCCTCTGCCTTTCATTCTTTCTTTCCCTCTGCTAATGATCTTTAAAAACCTGTCGTTAATAACAGCAAGAAATAGGAAATCATATTAAAGGACAAAAGACTAGAAAACAAGTATCTAGAAGAAAAACGAATCAAGAAGAGTCATTATGGGACATCTTTAAACCTTGTTCAAATGAACAGTACACACACCTACAACTTCCCAGAAGAGAAATTGTTGGGGAATATGTAGAAACACAAGACCAGAAGTAGATGAACCGCAGTTAGCGGTGACTCACCTGGAGCGGCTTCTGCAGCTCACGGCGAACTCTCGAAGTCCTGTGAGCCTCGCAGGACATGGAGGTGACAGCGACCACCCAGAGCTCCGGCAACAGAGGCAGCGGCCTCAGACCCCAACAGGCCGGCACTCCCGTCTCCTGGCAACAGCTTCCCCACGTCCACTGTGCCAGCGAGCGTGCTGATTGGCTATGGCTTTTGTGACGCCCCGAATGCCCATAGGCTTGGCAACTGACCAATCAGGGGCCCCGGTGAGTGGCTGACAACTTTTTCATCTCCTGAGACCCCTGTGTCCTAGTCGCGTCCCCGCGGTGGCTCCCCCTTCTCTGCTCTGAGGAGAGGAAGCCGGAGACCTCGCAAGCAGGAAATGGTGAGTGTGGGTCCAGGTTTCCCAGAAGGGGCTGTGGGGTGGATGGATCCTGCCTGAGCCAGCGACGGGGGGGGGCTGGACTTCCCCCAACTGAGCTCTTTCATCTGCGGACCCACTAGGCTGTTCCTGCACCAGCGCCCTGGGCTGGCTCCAGAGCCTCATCTCAGTCTCTGTGTGCGTGCAGTCTGCCTGTCCCCAGGTTGTGTGGAGAGGACTGAGGGAGATCGGAGAGAGTGGACTGCGCTGTGGCGTTCACGTGGCGAGGAGGTTGGGGGGTCATGGCTCCCTCCTTTCTCCCCAGCCATACACATTACAAGCTTAGGAACTCAGAAATGGAAGTCTTATTTTGCTCAGCTTTTCGGGCCAGGTTTGGGGATGGCATCTGATGATGAACTTGCTGGCAGAGTTCAGAGGCAGTGCAGGCATCACCATGACACTTTAAAGGGTGTACTTTGGTGACCATTTCACAAGAGAGGAAAGCAGAGAATGCCCACCCGACCCTCCAGTGCAGAGTATCCGTGCACCTCTCCTCATTTTATGCTCCTTAAGTACAGACATTAGAACGTCATTGGGTTGTTCCCCTTTGCAAACTTTGATATCACCACCACCCACCCTCCTTTCTTTTTCTTGTCTTGGTTCCTAAAACTGCCTGGGCATGATGTTCAACACACCTCCCTCCAGGAGTGCCTAGTGCGTGCCAGCCCCTGAGTCACTCATCCTGGGGGCAGCCCCTGGCCCTGAGCCTCTACCTGGGGGCAGCTGACTTGAGCTGGGTTGAAACTCCTGGTACACCTGCCCTTGGGATGTTTAGCTTTCCTTCTCACCACAGTTTCCATTGCTGGGAGATATAGCAGTCAGTTACTCAGATGCTGGTATATACAACTGGATTCTTTCAGACTTGAGAAGGGAGAAGGGCTGTCACAAAAGCCAAGGAAAAACCACTTTAGCTAAGTGGTGCCAGACCTGAAAAGTTCAGGACCCAGCAGTTTTTGGCTCCAGAGAGTTGTTATATTCAGAGTGTAATGTGTTCCAAGTGAAGCTGCCCGAGAGGGTAAGACTCCCTGTGGAGAAAGGCTTATGAATTTGAGAATTTGCTCCTGTAGTGCAATAAAATGTATATTTGATATTTGTACCCATTTTCTGGTGCAGAGATTTTAGTGTTCATACAACTTGCATATTATTACATATCCTATAACTTTGATTTACTGAGAAGATAAAGTAAAATATCCCTTGGCTTTCAGGGGTCCAGTGAATTTCATATTCAACTTTATAATTTTCTCAAGATTTTTGTTTGAGATTGACAGTATTATTGTTTCCTCCTGTAAATTTACTTTTAAGCTACATATAGTCTCAATGTTTTTCATGATAATTATTTATTGTACTGTGTTGCCAAAACTGACAAAAAATATTTTATGAGACCATTTTTCCCCAAGACCATCAGTATGACAGCTGCTGTCCAAAGAGGTATAAATATTTAGAGTAATAAATATGACAGCAGGACATACATGATTGTGTAGTATATCATTCAGAGGCTGCTTCCCCAAAGAATTTCTTAATGGATTCATGCTTGTTTCACATATATTGATTAATGTTTTAGGAAGTAAGAAGCTTCTCTGTATTGGATGTTTTGAGGAAGTTTATTTTATTCTGTCCTTGGTAATACTAGTAGTTCTTATCTAGGAGGCAGAGAGAATGGAGTGGAACTAAAGCTAATTCACAAGGAGGACCAACCAGTTATGGAAATGGCAAAAGGAACATAATGGGCATTTTCAGGATTTGGAATATGTCCCCTTTTCGTTTTTGAGACATGACTGCACAAAATCTTTTGTGTTGATTCATCATAGTTATGGAGACACATTGTCTGATGTTAAGAGTGTGTGGCAAACTCAGACATCTCTTCAGCAGCATAAGTCTTGGCCTTTTGTTGAGGTGAGGCCAGCTCCAGTCTTCAGGCCCTGTTTTGTCTTTCTTACTAATTAGCTAAACATGGACTGCAATGCATGCAATGTATTGCACACTGTTTTCTATTAGATACTCCAGTTAAAATAAATTCTCATTCTTAGAAAATTATGTAACATTTTACTAAAAGTCACCTTAATAATTCAAATAAGTCCAAACAGTTGAGTAAATTGCCTGAATGCAAATCCAGCAGAGAAAAAAAAAGCATGATCATTATTCCAGTCAAGCCTTTCAGGTTTAGAAAATATGTTGTTGATGCTAATTTGTCAACATCCCCCATACGCCAGAATTGCAAACTCAAATTGCATGAAATTGGGCACAAAAAGCCCACACACAAAGAGTTCTAGATAGTGACTTCTAAAACAAAGTCTTAAAATCTGGTGTTTCTATTCTGACAAAAGAAGAATAGGCAACAAATGCCATCAGTTGTTGTATATGGGGAAAATAAGTACTTTGCCAGGAAGTAAATGATGGCATCTGTGCTCATAAGGAAGGTGGGGGGGTGTCAGAAATATGTCATCATTGATCACATATTTCCATTTCTTTTTTTTATTTTTGACAGGCAGAGTGGACAGTGAGAAAGAGAGAGACAGAGAGAAAGGTCTTCCTTTGGCCATTGGTTCACCCCCTAATGGCCACTGTGGCTGGCACATCACACTGATCTGAAGCCAGGAGCCAGGTGCTTTTCCTGGTCTCCCATGTGGGTGCAGGGCCCAAAGACTTGGGCCATCTCCCACTGCACTCCTGGGTCACAGCAGAGAGCTGGCCTGGAAGAGGGGCAACTGGGACAGAATCCGGTGCCCTGACCGGGACTAGAACCCGGTGTGCTGCCGCCGCAAGGTGGAGGATTAGCCTATTGAGCCATGGCACCGGCCTCATATTTCCATTTCTAAAACATCTTCCTTACAGGTCCAGAAACTGCTGAGGTATGGATGTAGATGGTTAATCAACAGGCAGTCTTGCATTCTTGATTCCCGATAAAGATGCAGGTACAGTTCATCTTCATGTTTGCAGTGGTTAAGAGTTTAAGGGCACACAGTACATGATTGATTTTGAATGTTTTTTTGGTGTTTCTGTTTCTGTTTAATGTCATGTGAAGGGTTTTTGAAGTTCCTTTTTTTCTGGTATTAACATTTCAGCCACTTGAATCAGATTTGCTGTTAATTCTTCACAAAAGCTTCGTTATCAGCAGTTATCATTCAGAACAATTTCCCCAGGCATTTCTTTCTTGCTAACATCTTGGGTCCTGTAAAACCTTCTGGGTTATAGATTCTGGATTTATAAATTTTGTAATCTCTTTGTGAGATGTCTATCTTCTCATATTGCTAATGCTTGCGTGTTACTGCAAGACTCCATTTATCTGGGCCACAGTAACAAATGTGGAACAGAATGTTAGAGCTGTGGCAAGGGAATGAGATATGCTCTTTTGATCAGGGGGCCCTTGTGCAGGATTGTGTACTTAGATGTCTGAGTAACTTCACATGCTTGGGTTGATTGGACACTTTTTTGTGAATACTTTGTTAATATTCTTAGGTTTTTGATTAATGGAATTTTGTAGGGAAAATTGCATCTCCCAAACACATTGCTAATTACAGTCTTCACCTGAAACAGACATTTGTCATGGAAAAGGGTGATGAGTAACTCCCATAACTGCACAGCAAATTCTAAGTGACAATCAGATATGTTCTAATTGGACTTCCTATCCCATGGGTTGAATGGAGGACATGCACCTTCCTCTGCACCACCAAGCATTGGACTCTCACTCCTTCACTGGCACTGTGATTCCCAAGCTTCCTACAAATACAGACACCATTTCTTTCTCCTTCAGCTCTCTCCCTTCCATTCTCATTTTAACAAAAGCAGACAGTTATTTTACTGGAAACATTGATTTGTCTTTAAACTTTTCATGCTAAAAAAATCAATGACTTTACTGCAAACCCATTCAATCAAATCTTTATTCATACTTAGATTGGATTTCCATATATAACTATGGGTACAACAGCTATGTTGTACCCATAGTTCTATCAGGACCTGCCTCTGCTTCCAATTGAGCTTCCTGCTAATGCACCTGGGAAGCAATGGTGATAACCTTAGTATGTGAGTTCCTGACACACATGTGGGAGACCAGGATGGTGTTCCTGGTTCTAGCCTGGCCCAGCCCTGGCTTTGCAGACATTTGGGGAGTGAGCCAGTGGTTGGAACCTCTTGCTTGCTCACTCTCTAATACATACATCTTTTAAAAATTCTAGGTGGAATTTTCTTGCCAATCACCTCCAAAAATGGATCCAAATATATGAATGTGGATATCAGAATCCTTGAAATAAGACACAGAAAGATAAATACCACACAATCTCATATACACGAGGAATCCAGGAACATCAAACTTAAGCACAGAACAGAATAGTGGTTACCAGGGGCTAAGAATGAAAGAAATAAAATTGTAGTTTAATGACATGTATTTGCAGTTAGGAGATAAATTGACTCCTTGAGACCTAAAACACAGCACAGTATATTAAAAATGAATACAGTGTTAGATACCACTTGTTAAGATCTTAAGTATTTTTTATAAACCATATAAGATGATTGACTTGTTAGTTTGATTGTCCTATCATTAAATAATATATATGTACAAGAGAGCACAAAAGGTTTGTTAAAAATAGGATAAAATGGGAATTTTCTAAAAACTTGAAGTCCCCTCACAAAGAGGTTTGTGAAAAATGGGATTGCAAGATAAGGTGAATTTTCTATAAGCCTTTAAAAGTCCCCTCACATGTCAAAACATCAAGTCACACAACTTGAGTATATACAAATTTTGAATGTTAATTATACTCAAATATTCTTGTAAAATTACACTATATTAAATTATTAATTAAAAATAATTTAGGAATCTAGACTTGTATTTTTGTGATTGGGAAGGTTACCATGGAACAAAAATAATTTTTAAAGCACTCATAAATGTGACTGGCTTAAATTTCTATTTTGAAAGTTCAAAGACGATGATCACCTGTCAAAGTAATGTGTAAGGGCTAAGATGACATCCAAGTACCACATTACAGTGGCCTCCTGCCACTCTAACACTTTGAGAAAAACCCTGCACCAAATAAATCTGTTTTAATTCACCTAGTCTGTGACACTTATGTCAGCAACATAAAGTGAGGTTAGACCCCAGAAATTGCTATGCTGAGAGGTCAAGGTCTGGGACTGAGACCCTGCTCCGACATCTTCGGAAAACTTTGGGAATCAGGTCACCCTAGGAAGAAAAGAGGAACCAAGCACCCCATAAATGACAGCCCGTCACCTGCATGAAACCCATTCCCGCAGCCCGGATTCTACCTAATGACCACCTGGTCCCCACTGCACTATTGGGGAAGATGCGAGGCTCCTGCCACACAGCTTCCCAGAGACAACTCCTGGGCTCCTGGGCCAATAAGTCTCTGCCCGGAAAGGACAGGACTCCTGGAGTCAGGGTGCCAGTCCAGCCCCAACACTGTGGACAGAGGGGCTGAGGGAAGCACTGTGCTGGCAGTGAGACAGGACCACAGACTCCAGAGCCCTCATCACCTTCCCCATCTCTGCAAGCCCACCCTACACTCATCTTTTCATGGCTTCTGAGGGGTGTGCAATCCTGTGGGGAAAGATCTTGGAGAACAGTGTATGAATCTCCCAGCAGCACAGCTCCCTCCTAGGATCTCTCTCTGCGGCAGAACTGGACAACAATTATGGCATCAAGATCCCACACAATTATGTAGCATTTATGCATCACTCCTGATTGGACAGTTTAGATAGCCATGAGCATGTACAGTGTCATAAAAGATGCAACCAATCAGCATCCTCCACAGTGCTGACATGCCAAATAGGAAAAAATAAGAGGGGAGATCTGGGTTCAGTACCAAAACTTCATTCTCCAGTGCTCCACCCTGCCTGCCATGGGAGGGCTTTTCATTCCTGGTCCTGCCTCCTGCTGGGCTCTCTCCTGTTCCCTGGTCCCTGTCACTCCGAGGATCCTACCTGGAGGTGGCAGGACCCTACTTCAGGTAAGTGACAATCTAATGGATATTTACTGGCCTCTGAGCCTTCTTTTTCAATTTACACAAGATATGTTTCTCGAGTCATTTGTGTTTTTTTTTTAAATATTGATTTAAAGAATTTTTAAAGACATAACATAATTTAATGATTTTTCCTTTCCCTTGCCAATTTGTTTCTCATTTCCAATTGTCCTTAAATATTATTTTCTGTGCTTTTTGCTGGTTGTATGTGTGTGTGTGTGTGCATGTGTCTTTCCAGTAATCTCATTTGTCAGTTGTATTTGTTTTTATATTTCATGGATTAGCTCTGTGTATAAACATCACCAATAATTCATACTTTCTGCTCAGAAATTGACTTATTTTACAGGCAGAGTAGTAGACAGCAAGAGAGACAGAAAGAAAGGTCTTCCTTCCATTGGTTCACTCCCCAAATTGCTGCTATAGATGGTGCTGCACTGATCCAGAGCCAGGAGCCAGGAGTCAGGTGCTTCTTCCTGGTCTCCCATGTGGGTGCAGGGACCCAAGCACTTGGACCATCCTCCAATGCTATCCCTGGGCCACAGCAGAGAGCTGGACTGTAAAAGGAGCAACCAGAACTAGAATTCAGCACCCTTATGGGATGCTGGCACCGCAGGTGGAGGATTAACCAAGTAAGCCATGGAGCCGGCCCTCAGAAACTGAATTTTACACTTTATAACTTCTTTTTTGCTGTTATATTTCATTGACTATTCCTGCAGTAGAAAGTTGAGGACAATGAGCACAGGCATAGGGGTCTAGATTTACTTCCAGAGGAAAACAAATTCAATCACTCTATATTAGTTGTGTTTGTTGTAGATTCATTTCTCTGTTGATTATATTAAGAAACTCGTTGGATTTTTGTTGTATTTTGTTTGTTACTCTGTTCTCAATGTTTTAATTGGGCGCTGAACTTTATTAAATGCTTTTAAACATGTAACTCAAGTGAGCATGTGATTTTCTTCTCGTAGTTTTTTACCTGCCTGGGTGACTTTTCAGGAAATCTTACCAACATTTGCATTTTTATTATATATTGTTTGCTATTGATTTTTTTATATTTGTATATGTGATTTCATTTATTATATTAATATTTTGTTTAGGGTACTTCTAGCTCTGTTTATGAAAGGGATACTTTTAAGTAAATTAATTTTTATTAAGTGGTCCACCTGCATCATTATCAATGTAATGCTGATTTTCCAAAAGAAATTTTAAAATATGATCTTCTTATTTCCACATTGGGTAGGTCTGGGAAACATAGATTTTTCTTTTCTTCCACAAAAGTTTGGAGTATTCTGTAAGTCTGGATCCCAAATTCAGATTTGTGTGACTTTCCCATGGTTTTCTTGGATCTTTATAGATTGTTTTTCACTGAGGATTCACGTGACTTTTTTTCCCTCATAATTAGACCAGGTTTCTGAGTTTTTGAGGGTAGTTTTTGATTTTTATTGCATCACAACAAGAATAAGTCACTGTCAACATGATATCACTGTTGATGTTGGTATGGAACACCTGGTGGCAGTAGTATTTCTCAGCTTTCTCTAATGTGAAGCTACTCTGTCCTACCTCAAGTCCTTTTCTATACTCTTTGGAAAGGGGTCACTATGTATAGCCCATGCTTAAGGATTAGAGAGTTAGACACATATCATTAAAGGTGGAATTTATTTGGGATTCTTTGCCTGGAGGAATTGTCTCCCCACTCCTTTATTTGTGTATTCAATCATTCATTCATGTCACTGTTGATTCAGGAACATTTACTTTATACTTTGAATATTATCCAATAGTAGCGACCTTCAAAGAGTTTGCAGAAAATACACATTATGATAAAAGAAACTTATACTTGATTGCAAAATTTTGAACCAAAGTAAACATATCTTAATTCAACTTTCCACAAAATTTTCAAGTCCCTATACCAATTCATTTATGTTATTACTTTAAATTATTCCAGTTTTGGCCATTGGAAAATTTTTCATCTGGTTCCATTGTCATGCCCCCTCATGATGGGATCATTTACTCATTAGGGACACATCTTTTATTCTCTGGCACTGTAAGATATCCCAGGCTCATATTTGTATATCTCCTTGCCTGATACTGAGACTCAGCCATTTTTTCAAAGAGCTCTGGATCCTTTAATTTTAGAATTGTTTTAGAATTCAAGATATGGGCACTATGTATGTTCAATGCTGCTGGGTTGTTGCTATATACAAACCCTGTCAGCTGTCAGAGCAAGGAAATGTATGTATACTACTCTGTGTATACATACATAGGAGTATAAATATTCCTATACTCTCTGTATCTATGTATACATGTATGTATATTTATATTTATATGTATATGTATCTATCTATCTTAAGCTATGTTCTTATTGTCTCCAACTCCAATTCTTGACCACAGGAATCATTTTAGCCACCTCTCTTTGCTTTTCTGTAAACTTCTTTTCCAGAATCTTGTTTTAAAAATATTCCAGTGCCAGCATTGTGTTTCAGTGGATTAAACTACTAGCCGTGATGCTGGCATCCTGTATGAGCATTGGTTCAAGTCCTGGCTGCTTGACTTCTGAGCCAGCTCTCTCTTAATGCACCATAGGAAAACAGCAGAAGAAGGGCAAAGTACTTGGACTCCTACCACCTATGTGGGAGACCTGGATAGAGTTCTTGGCTCCTGGCTTCAGCATGGCCAAGTCCTGTCTATCATGGACATTTGGAGAGTGGACTATTAGATGGAAGATCTCTCTCTCCCTCACTGTTTCTATAACTGCCTTTATAAATATTTGAAGACTTTTACTTAACTTCATTCTAAAAATATGTCTCTGTTTTCATGTATGCTTATATGTATATCACAGAATACTTGGAAATTTAATATAGGCTATGGGAAGAGATCGAATCTCCTATATTTAATCTTTTAACATTTACACACATGTATACATACACTTTTACAAACAAAACTATGACCAAAATAGATATGGTATTTTGTAGTCTACTCAACAATGTATAATGAGCTTCTCCATTCATGTTAACTATTCTTTTTAAAGGTCATAATTTTAATTGGCTGAACATATTAACCTCTCCTTTGACTACTTAAGTTTTAACAATTTTTCTGTGATGAGTAACTATAGGAAACACTCTTTATGTAAGTCATTATGCATATGTCTGATTTTTAAGTTTAGACTGCTTTGTGTAAGTTGAATTACTAGGCCTGAGAGTAATTATTGGGTCCCAGAGTAGGGACATTTTAAGTACTGTGATAAGTAATGCTAAACTTCCCTATAGAAAAGACAGCAGCAATTTAGCTACCTACCAAAATTGTATAAGTCATTTTCTTAAGAAAATGCTTAGTAATAAGAGGTATTGAAAAATTTTAAAGGAATCACCGAGTCATTAAAATGTCATCTCACTGTTGTTTTGAATTAAATTTGTTTTATAAGATGGCAGAATAGTGAGGGCGTGCACCGATAGCACGGGAAAATTTAGTTTAATAAAAGCAGAGTTAGGGTAGCCTCAGAAAAAGGATCAGGAAAAAATTGCAGAGGAAACTCTTCCGAAGCTATTGGCTATGACTCAGAGGACCTACTGGGAGAGCAGGGTCGCCCACCGTGTGGAAGCCGAACCGAGGGAGCCGCAGAGACTGAGTGCCAGTGCGGGAAGGGGAGTCGATGTGACACAGACACCAGCAGGGAGAGGAGGGACGCCCAGGGCTCTGAGTCCACACATCGGCGCTGGAAGCGGAGGTGAGCTCAGTAACTGGAGACATTGGCGGGGAAACGGTGGACAGAATTTTAGAGGGAAGCAGGCTTTGAAGTGGGAAAGTTCACCAGACTGACTACAGGAGAGAAGGAAAAAAAATAAATAAATTAAAAAAAATGTGGGGGCGTACTGGTACAGACAAGTTCCTCTCTCTGCCAACCTTGCAAAGGCGAGCAAGAGACAAAGAGCTGCGATATACATAATAAAAGGGGAGAGTTAAGGCTACAATTCAGTAGCCTAGGCAACCCAGCGGGAGTCCGCAGAGAAATGGAGCCTGCACAGACTCTTTGGGTAGAAGCCAGAGATCGGAAGCTAAATACCATCCATTCTGCTCATCCTTGCAGTATTACTTACCTCCTGAATAAAAAATAAAATAAAATAAAATAAAATAATAAATAAATAAATAAAGAGAGATTTACCACGCATAACCTGAGGGTGTCACCTTTGCACACCCTTAACCAGGAAGAACCAGGCAGAGCTCTCAGGCCACACCCATCTCAAGACTCCAAGGCTCCTCCAACAGCAGGCAGTCCACTTAACACAGACATAGTATAAAAAAAAAAAAACTCACAGTGAGGGAAAAAGAATTAACCATGCCAAGCAATAAACACAGAAATTGAGGGAACAAGATCAACGATGACACTATGATGCCTCCAAATAAACAAAACACCCCAAGCCAAGATTATGAAGATGATGAGATAGAAGAAATGCAAGATACGGATTTCAAAAAATTTATGATAACATTTAGAAGTTTTCAAAAGCAAATCATTGAACTACAGAAATCCTTATTGGACAGGATTGAAAATCTCTCTCGTGAAAATGAAATTTTAAGGAAGAATCAAAATGAAACGCAGAAACTAGTAGAACAAGAAAGTGTGATAGTGAAGAGAAATCAAAATGAAATGAAGAGCTAAATTGATCAAATGACCAACACATTAGAGAGCCTTAAAAACAGAATGGGTGAAGCAGAAGAGAGAATATCGGATTTAGAAGACAGAGAACAGGAAAGGATTCCGTCAGACCAAAGAAAAGAAGAGGAAATTAGAAATCTAAAAAATATTGTTGGAAATCTACAGGATACTATTTAAAAAACTAACATTCGAGTTCTAGGAGTTCCTGAAGGCATGGAGAGAGAGAAAGGATTAGAAGGCCTTTTTAGTGAGATACAAGCAGAGAACTTTCCGGGTTTGGAGAAGGACAGAGACATCCTAGTACAGGAAGCTCATAGAACCCCCAGTAAACTTGACCAAAAGAGATCCTCACCACGACATGTTGTAATTAAACTCACCACAGTGAAACATAAAGAAAAGATCCTAAAATGTGCAAGAGAGAAACGTCAGATTACTCTCAGAGGATCTCCAATCAGACTCACAGCAGACTTCTCATCAGAAACACTACAGGATAGGAGGGAATGGCGAGACATAGCACAGGTGCTAAGAGAGAAAAATGCCAGCCCAGAATATTATATCCTGCAAAGCTCTCATTTGTGAATGAAGGTGAAATAAAAACCTTTCATAGCAAACAGAAATTGAAAGTCTTTGCTGCCACTTGTCCGGCCCTGCAAAAGATACTTAAAGATGTGCTGCACTCAGAAACACAGAAACACGGCCATCAATATGAAAGAAGGTAAAGGAAGAACAGCTACCAGTAAAAGAGCATGGGAAGCTCAAAGCATATACTAGAAAATATCTCTGGGAAAATGGCAGGGCAAAGTCACTATGTATACATAGTTACATTAAACGTGAATGGCCTGAACTGCCCAGTTAAAAGACACTGATTGGCTGAATGGCTTAAGGAACAACACCCAACTATTTGTTGCCTACAAGAAACACATCTCTAACAAAGATGCATGCAGACTGAAAGAGAAAGGTTGGAAAAAGATATTCCATGCCAACAAAAACCAAAAAAAGCAGGTGTAGCCATATTAATATCAGACAAAATAAACTTTAATACAAGAACTGTTAAGAGAGACAAAGAGGGGCACTATATAATGATTAAGGGTTCAATTCAACAGGAAGATGTAACTATTATAAATGTATATGCACCTAATTACAGGGCACCAGTATATTTAAAAGATATGTTCAGGGACTCAAAGGGAGACTTAGATTCCAATACGATAGTACTGGGGGACTTCAATACTCCACTCTCAGAAATAGATAGATCATCCAGACAGAAGATCAACAAGGAAACAGCAGATTTAATCAACACTATTGCCCAAATGGATCTAACAGATATCTACAGAACTTTCAATCCTACATCTAAAGACTTTACATTCTTCTCAGCAGCGCATGGAACCTTCTCTAGGATTGATCACATACTAGGCCATAAAGCAAGTCTCAGCAAATTCAAAAGGAATAGAATCATACCATGCAGCTTCTCAGACCATAAAGGAATGAAGCTGGAAATTAGCAACTCAGGAAACCCCAGAAAGTATGCAAACACATGGAGACTGAACAACATGCTCCTGAATGAACACTGGGTCATTCAAGAAATCAAAAGAGAAATAAAAAAACTTTCTGGAAGTAAATGAGGATAACAACACAACATATCAAAACTTATGGGATATGGCAAAAGCAGTACTGAGAGGCAAGTTTATAGCAATAGGAGCCTATATCAAGAAATTGGAAAGGCACCAAATAAATGAGCTTTCAGCGCATCTCAAGGACCTAGAAAATTTGCAGCAAACCAGACCCAAATCTAGTAGGAGAAGAGAAATAATTAAAATCAGAGAAGAAATTAACAGGATTGAATCCAAAAAAAATTACAAAAAATCAGCCAAGCGAAGAGCTGGTTTTTTGAAAAAATAAACAAAATTGACACCCCATTGGCCCAACTAACTAAAAAAAGAAGAGAAAAGACCCAAATCAATAAAATCAGAGATGAAAAAGGAAACGTAACAACAGACACCACAGAAATAAAAAGAATCATCAGAAATTACTACAAGGACCTGTATGCCAGCAAACAGGAAAACCTATCAGAAATGGATAGATTCCTGGACACATGCAATCTACCAAAATTGAACTATGAAGACATAGAAAACCTAAATAGACCCATAACTGAGACAGAAATTGAAACAGTAATAAAGGCCCTCCCAACAAAGAAAAGCCCAGGACCAGATGGATTCACTGCTGAATTCTACCAGACATTTAAAGAAGAACTAATCCCATTTCCTCTCAAACTATTCAGAACAATCAAAAAAGATGGAATCCTCCCAAATTCTTTCTATGAAGCCAGCATCACCTTAATCCCTAAGCCAGAGAAAGATGCAGCACTGAAAGAGAATTATAGACCAATATCCATGATGAACATAGATGCAAAAAATCCTCAATAAAATTCTTGCCAATAGAATACAACAACACATCAGGAAAATCATCCACCCAGACCAAGTGGGATTTATCCCTGGTATGCAGGGATGGTTCAACATTCGCAAATCAATCAATGTGATTCACCACATTAACAGACTGCAGAAGAAAAACCATATGATTATCTCAATAGATGCAGAGAAAGCATTTGATAAGATTGAACACCCGTTCATGATGAAAACTCTAAGCAAATTGGGTATGGAAGGAACATTCCTCAATCTAATCAAAGAAATTTATGAAAAGCCCACAGCCAGCATCCTATTGAATGGGGAAAAGTTGGAAGCATTTCCACTGAGATCTGGCACCAGACAGGGATGCCCACTCTCACCACTGCTATTTAATATAGTTCTGGAAGTTTTAGACAGAGCCATCAGACAAGAAAAAGAAATTAAAGGAATACAAATTGAGAAGGAAGAAGTCAAACTATCCCTCTTTGCAGATGATATGATTCTTTACTTAGAGAATCCAAAGAACTCTACTAAGAGACTATTAGAACTCATAGAGGAGTTTGGCAAAGTGGCAGGATAGAAAATCAATGCACAAAAATCAACAGCCTTTGTGTACATAAGCAATGCCATGGCTGAGAAAGAACTGCTAAGATCAATCCCATTCACAATAGCTACAAACAATCAAATACCTTGGAATAAACTTAACCACGGATGTTAAAGGTCTCTACAATGAAAATTACAAAATCTTAAAGAAAGAAATAGAAGAGGATACCAAGAAATGGAAAAATCTTCCATGATCATGCATTGGAAGAATCAACATCATCAAAATGTCCATTCTCCCAAAAGCAATTTATAGATTCAATGCAATCCCAATTAAGATACCAAAGACATTCTTCGCAGATCTAGAAAAAATGATGCTAAAATTCATATGGATGCACAAGAGACCTGGAATAGCTAAAGCAATCTTGTACAACAAAAACAAAGCGGGAGGCATCACAATACCAGATTTCAGGACATACTACAGGGCAGTTGTAATCAAAACAGCATGGTACTGGTACAGAAACAGATGGATAGACCAATGGAACAGAATTGAAACACCAGAAATCAACCCAAACATCTACAGCCAACTTATATTTGATCAAGGATCTAAAACCAATTCCTGGAGCAAGGACAGTCTATTCAATAAATGGTGCTGGGAAAACTGGATTTCCATGTGCAGAAGCATGAAGCAAGACCCCTACCTTACACCTTACACAAAAATCCACTCAACGTGGATTAAAGACCTAAATCTACGACCTTACACCATCAAGTTATTAGAGAACATTGGAGAAACCCTTCAAGATATTGGCACAGGCAAAGAGTTTCTGGAAAAGACCCGGGAGGCACAGGCAGTCAAAGCCAAAATCAACTATTGGGATTGCATCAAGTTGAGAAGTTTCTGTACTGCAAAAGAAACAGGAGAGTGAAGAGACAACTGACAGAATGGGAAATATATTTGCAAACTATGCAACAGATAAAGGGTTAATAACCAGAATCTACAAAGAGATCAAGAAACTCCACAAAAACAAAACCAACAACCCACTTAAGAGATGGGCCAAGGACCTCAATAGACATTTTTCAAAAGAGGAAATCCAAATGGCCAACAGGCACATGAAAAAATGTTCAAGGTCATTAGCAATCAGGGAAATACAAATTAAAACCATAATGAGGTTTCACCTCACCCGGGTTAGAATGGCTCACATGCAGAAATCTACCAACAACAGATGCTGGCGAGGATGTGGGGAAAAGGGGACACTAACCCACTGTTGGTGGGAATGCAAACTGGTCAAGCCACTATGGAAGTCAGCCTGGAGATTCCTCAGAAACCTGAAGATAACCCTACCGTTCGACCCAGCCATCCCACTCCTTGGAATTTACCCAAAGGAATTTAAATTGGCAAACAAACAAGCTGTCTGCATATTAATGTTTATTGCAGCTCAATTCACAATAGCCAAGACCTGGAACCAACCTAAATGCCCTTCAAAGGTAGACTGCATAAAGAAATCCTGGGATATGTACTCTGTAGAATACTATACCGCAGTAAGAAACAACAAAATCCAGTCATTTGCAACAAAATGGAGGAATCTGGAACACATCATGCTGAGTGAAATAAGCCAGTCCCAAAGGGACAAATACCATATGTTCTCCCTGATTAGTGACAACTGCCTGAACACCAAAAAGGAAACCTCCTGAAGTGAAATGGACACTATGAGAAACGGTGACTTGATCAGCATAGCCCTGACTGTTAATGAACAACTTAATACATTATCCCTCTTAGTAGTTTTTTTTTTGTCTGTTCTACTTAATATGACTGGTTTAATTCTGTAATTAATACACAGTTATTCTTAAGTGTTGAAAATTAACTGAAATGTGATCCCTGTTAAACATAAGAGTGGGAATAAGAGAGGGAAGAGATGTACAATTTGGGACATGCTGAAGCTGACTTGCCCCAAATGGTAGAGTTAGAAACATACCAGGGGACTCCAATTCAATACCATCAAGGTGGCATGTACCAATGCCATCTCACTAGTTCAAGTGATCAATTTCAGTTCACAATTGATCATAATGAAAGGACTAAGAGTCAAAGGGAGCACATAAACAAGTCTAGTCCCTGCTAATACTAACTGATAGAATAAATAAAGGGGAGAGTGATCCAACATGGGAAGCGAGATTCTCAGCAGACTCATAGAATGGCGGATGTCCTAAACAGCACTCTGGCCTCAGAATCAGCCCTAAAGGCATTCCGATCTGGCTGAAAAGCCCATGAGAGTATTTCAGGCATGGAAAGCCAAGACACTCTGGCAAAAATAAATAAATAAATAAATAAACAAACCTAAATGAAAGATCTCTGTGAGTGAGATCCCAGTAGAAAGAACAGGTCTTCAAAGAAGGAGGTACCTTTCTCTGAAGGGAGGAGAGAACCTCCACTTTGACTATGACCTTGTCTAAACAAGAAAAGAGTCGGAGAACAAAGGGGGCTTCCATAGCCTTGGAAACTCATGAATGGAGCATAGGGAGATTACTGATGCCATAGACAGGAGTGTCAATTGGTAAAGTCAACAACAGGAGTCACTGTACACTTA